GTGTTGGACCGGATGAATATACCCAGGTTCACGTGATCGTGAGACTCAAACAACAACGCCCGCGCCATTCGTTCCCTTTGGTTCATCACCCTCATTTGCCCATCAATCTCCGGCTCAATCATGCGGCTTGACGCAGTTAAACAGACACACGATAGCAACGTTCAATAAGTTTAGATAAAGTAGGATGATCTCAACAAGGGGATGATATGATACGGTCAGAGCGGCATGCCCCGCATCCGACGCGGGGTAGAGATAGCAATTGAACGATCAGATCTGCAAGGGCGTCCGAACCTCATCCTCCTCTCATGTAAACACTATGTGTAGCTCATACGATGTATAAACTCATCAGAAATCATCTGCTCCTTCTTCCCGGGACCATCCTGGCAGCCGGGTTCGGATCGGGTCCATCAGACCAGCAAAAACCACTTACATCCCGGACCTGTCTCGCCCCACTGCCCGCATCCGCATCGGACCCCCGAGCCAACTTCCCGGATTGCACCCGGGATCCCCTCTGCTCCATTGACGTGTGCGACGAGTCTCTCTCTCCATACCAGCGCGCAAAGTCACTCGTAGCCGAGCTCACTGTATGGGAGAAGCTGGATAACCTCGTCAACGAAGCGCCCGGCGTCTCGCGACTCGGGATCCCGCCTTATGAGTGGTGGTCCGAGGGCCTCCACGGCGTCGCGTCGTCGCCAGGCACAAAGTTTGCGGAGAGCGGCAACTTCAGCTACGCGACGTCGTTCCCGCAGCCGATTGTCATTGGCTCGGCTTTTGATGATGAGCTGGTGGAGGCCATTGGGGCCGTGGTCAGCAAGGAGGCGAGGGCATTTAGCAATGATGGCAGATCTGGACTTGATCTATACGTGAGTGAAGACTGGAATGAAAGGCATCCCACTCAGGTCAGATGTTGACAGAGCCCGCAGTCGCCCAATATCAATGCCTTCAAAGACCCCCGCTGGGGACGTGGTCAAGAAACACCCGGCGAAGACCCATTTCACCTCCAAAACTACGTCGCGGCAATGCTCACAGGCCTCGAAGGATCCTTTGACCCATCCAACAAGAACCTCATCGCGACATGCAAACACTACGCAGCCAATGACTTTGAGCACTACAACGGCGTCGACCGCGCCGGCTTCAACGCAATCATCACGACCCAGGACCTCTCAGAGTACTACCTCCCACCCTTCAAAACGTGCGCCGTCGAGAAGAACGTGGGCTCCTTCATGTGCAGCTATAACGGCATCAACGGCACACCCTTATGCGCCAACGCATATCTCCTGGAGGATATCCTACGCGGCCACTGGCGATGGAACGGCGAAGGCCAATACGTCTCCACGGACTGCGACTGCGTCGCTCTCATGGTCTCATACCACCACTACGCGCCAGATCTCGGACGCGCTGCCGCGTGGTCGATGAAGGCCGGAACGGATCTGGAGTGCAACGCCTTCCCCGGCTCCGAGGCCCTGCAGCTGGCGTGGAACCAGTCCCTTATCTCCGAGGAGGAGATTGATCGCTCTCTGACGAGGATGTATACGGCGCTCATCTCCGTCGGCCAGTTTGACTCTGCGCGAGAGCAGCCGTTGCGATCGCTGCTCTGGCGAGACGTCGATACGGAGGAGGCGCGGGAGCTCGCTTACAGGGCAGCCGTCGAGGGCTCGGTGCTCCTCAAGAATGATGGGATCTTGCCTCTGTCCGCAGATTCGGGCAAGAAGTTTGCACTCGTTGGGCCTTGGGCAAAGGCTACGACGCAGATGCAGGGTAATTACTACGGCCCGCCGCCGTACTTGATCTCCCCGTATCAGGCTGCTCGAGACCTCGGGCTAGACTTCACGTATACCCTGGGCTCCGAGATCAACGCCTCGGACGACTCGCTTTCCGACGCACTCAAATCAGCAAAGGAAGCAGACGTGGTCATCTTCGCAGGTGGCGTCGACAACACCCTAGAAGCCGAAACACTCGACCGCAAGACCCTGGCTTGGCCTGAACCTCAGCTCGAGCTTCTCCGTGCTCTCGCAGGCATCGGCAAACCTGTCATTGTGCTTCAATTCGGCGGCGGGCAGGTCGATGACACGGAGCTCCTGGCCAGCGACTCCGTCAGCGCGATTCTCTGGGGCGGATACCCAGGTCAGTCCGGGGGCAAGGCCATCTTCGACTTACTCTTCGGACGCGAGGCGCCGTCTGGAAGGTTATCTGTCACGCAGTACCCGGCGATCTACAACGAAGCGGTCCCGTCGACGGACATGAATCTCCGACCGGTACCGGGTAACTCGGGCCTCGGGCGGACGTATATGTGGTACCTCGGCGAGACGCCCGTACCGTACGGCTTCGGTTTGCACTATACGACCTTTGACGTCAAGCTCAAAGCGCTACAAGAGCCTGTCATCACCACAACTAAACAGCTCACTCTTTCGGAAGACAGCGAGGATGCGTCTCGTGTACCATCATGGCAAAAGACCCTGGAGAGGTCGATGCTGACTGTTGCGGTGACTGTCACCAATGCGGGGAAAGTTGCCTCTGACTACGTGGCACTGCTGTTCCTCACATCGGATGCCGGTCCCGAGCCCAGGCCGCTCAAGACTCTCGCGGGATACACTCGCTTCAGAAGTATTCAACCTGGCCAGGCCGCCGTGAAGGAGGTCGTCATCACCGTGGAGCGTCTGGTACGGGTCGATGTGCTAGGGAATCGGGTGCTGCATCCCGGATCGTATGAGGTGTTTGTGGACCTGGATAAGAAAGCGGTGCATAAGTTCCACGTGGGTGGTCCAGCGGTAGTGGTTGAGAAGTTTCCACAGCCGAAAGCTTAGGAGTGCTAGTTTGTGGAACGTAGCGGCAGTCGAGTCTCGCAATAATGTAAGGCAGGCTAGAAGCCCTGAAGTAAAGATAGTCATAGGTCCTTTCAGCGCTGGGATGCATCGGCTAGTAGTAGTTTCCACCGCTTGCGTATGATGTTATCGTAGTCATAGACTCTCAAGAAGAAAACGATGCCCGCTGTATAGTGACTCGTAGCAGCTGAACAGAACCACACTCTGGCTGTTTGAACAGTCGAAGGCTAGGCAAGAAAAAGGATGAAGTGTCTGGTTTTTTGATTCCAAGGGTCTATTACACTTTTAATTAGGGGTCAAAAACTAACTGTACCCCGAGGCAAGCTGATCCATGGTTCGAGGTCGTCTACTCAAATCAGCCTCCGATATCATGAATACCATTGCTACGTCTTTCCAAGAAGGTGTTTCATTAGGCGTGTTCCCTCCACGCCGAGGCAGACCCGGGTTCGCGAGGGAAGCTTTGCCCTCGCCTTCCGTCGGGCAATCGCATATGTGTGTTTTGAGTGAGATTTTAACGCGACACGTTGCGCGACTCTCAGTTGCCATCCAAGCGACGACCAATGTAAGAATGAACATCAGGCACGCAAACATTCGACACATTCGTCGCTAGGTTCTGACACTCGGCGTCCGTATACAACTCGACTATCCCGTCAGTCAGCAAAACCTCCGAATCAATATTCCCCCAAAGTCACACTGCAGAAATAGGAGAAGAAACATCTTACAGCTAAAAACAGGCGTGAGCCCACTCGCCGAAAACTTCTTGTACGTAGAATTATCAATCCCAACCGGAATCCGGTGGCACGCGCCGACATAGTCGGGCGGGATCGCCATGGCCTGTCCTCGCAGCGTGCCCGTCTCCATCTGCAGCGGGTTTCCCGTGCAATCGGAGGCGGCATCGTAGAACATTTTGATGGTGCCCATGATTGGCGTCGCGGTCGCGGTGGCGGCGAGGGCTGCGAGAGCGGCGGTGAGGGTTGTGAGCTGCATTCTTGGTGACGTGGGTAGGTACGTGGTGAAGGGTTGTTGGTAGACCTAGTTTTGAGTATCGAGAAAAGGATCAGAGGTTGAGATTGACGGAAAGGACATTCCCAAGTATTTAAGTCATTTCATGCGGTGAGGTCACAAACCAGGGTTGTCATCGTTGTTGTGGAACTCTTTCGCTATATTAATATACGATTTCTACGGGGATGGGGGTATACTTGGCGGTCTTGGTCCTCTCCAAGCCTCGAAGCCTCCATTGATCTACAGAGAAGGGCTCGTATTTCCAGTGTTTATTTTCGTTCATGCAAACCGGGAAGATTTACTCCACCAGCCGGCCCTCCCGTTCATCCAGTCAATTGACGAGCAAGGATGGCACTGATCGAATCCGACGATGGTGTACAAGAATAAGGTTTTCGGTAGTGACCGAGACCGACTTTTGAGGCTCTGAAAAAGGGATTCTCTGGAGAAACGGGTCAAATATTCGGAGCCGTCGTGTGAGCTGCCTCAAAATCATGAGAGTAAATGATCAATCGATTCTGTTCTTCAGTAAAGCGGAGCTCTGTCTTGCCGGACTGCTTCACTGCGATCCTCTTGTGCCTCTCTGAGAAGAATCCAGGCCCAACGCTCTAATGTCTATTCACCAGCTCCCAACAACAAGACAGTCTCCCTCCTTTCTAGCCTCAATCCCACACTCATCGAAGTCCAAATAAACTTAGCATTGCATCTATGCTTATCAATACAAGCGTAGTATAGTTTCAACTGACTAATCCATCATCCCAATTCACAAAGGATTCATCGTCTGCCTGCAGGGCAAGTGAAATAGTCAACGATGATTGGCCAATGGCTCCAGGCACCACCAGGCACCGCCAGGCACCAGCTGCGCCTTGATGGCCAGAATGCCTTGTGACTAAGCGGGATGAGGTAAGCCTACTGACCTCTTGGGTACGATGGTCCAAGCGTCTTGACTCTGGATTGCCATACAAGAAGAGGTCCAACGACGCTCAAGAGTTGACGATGGATACCTTATGATAAAGGCTGTCTTGTTATTCCTCTGAAGTCCGTAGCTGAATTGGAGCGTATCCGAGGAGTCTTCTCATCCAGAAAGCAAGATTTCCGTTCCTCGAGTGACACAACAGCAGTCATCCCAAAGCTAGTTCAACTCCACCAAAGCAGCTTTCAACTTACACGAAAACACCAATGCCGTCAACGACCGTCGCACAGAATGCTCGCGCAGCCAACAACCGACGCCAAACGCAGGACAACGACCGCCGAAGACCCGAGAGACCAACACAAATCCTCGACATCAACGTATGGGGAAGCGGCGAGAATTGCGAACTAGGCCTCGGCCCGCGCATCACGCAGGCTCCGAGACCCCATACGCAGAAATCTCTCCTGCCCTACGACATTGTCCAGATCTCTGCCGGCGGCATGCATTGCGCCGCGTTGACCAGCCACGGCGAGGTACTGACGTGGGGTGTCAACGACGACGGTGCACTGGGCCGTGTGAAAACTCCAGATGCACCTGAGGAGGGCCCCCAGGACCTGCTGGACCCGTTTGAGAGTACACCTGGCCTGGTGCGTTTTGAACATGAAGTCGATGTCGTCCAGGTTGCAACGACGAATAGCGCATGCTTCGCTCTTACTTCCGAAGGAACCGTGTACGGCTGGGGTAGTTTTGCTGTAAGTCTATCGGCTTTCTGTTCCCTTCCCACGAGTCCACACTAACAATTTCTAGGGAGGAGACGGCAACTTTGGCTTCCTTTACGATAAACCGCCAAAAACCACCGAGCCGCTACCTGTGCATATTCCCGGCCTGAATAGCATCGTGGAGCTAGCGGGTGGCGCGAACCACGTGCTTGCTCTCACTCATGACGGCGACATCTTTGCTTGGGGGTCCGGCGAACAGAACGAACTAGGCAGACGCCTCCTCGCTCGTCGCCGCTTCGAGAGCCTTATTCCCCAACGCGTAGGCTTGCCTAGGCACCAGACGGCCAAAATCTTTGCAGGGTCGCACCATAGCTTCGTCATTGACGTCCACGGAAAAGTCTGGGCCTTTGGGCTGAATAACTTTGGCCAGTGCGGCGTCCCGACACGGGAAGACACTGGCTTTACGACAATCATATCTCCAACAGTCGTCAAGAGTCTTGAGGGATACTCGATCCACCACATCGCCTGCGGTCTTCACCATTCCATTGCTTGCACCAGCGAAGGAGAAGTCTTGGTTTGGGGTCGGTGCGATGACGGCCAAATGGGTATCGATCTAAACGCCGTGCCCCACGACAACATCATCTTCGATTCGAGAGGGGAGCCAAGAGTACTGAATGTCCCGACTGTCGTTCCTGGTATGTTTCTTTCAGCTTTGAGCCTAAGCTCCAAAGCTAATTGCTCCCTTTTAGTATCTGGTGCCGACTTTGTTGCGGCTGGAATCGATAATTGCTTCGCAGTTTCTCGAGGTGGTGACGTGTTTGCTTGGGGGTTCTCAGTCAGTCATAATACCGGACTTGCCACAACTGAAACCGTGAGAGAACCGACAGAGATGCGTCGCAAGGGTCCTCGGACGTTCGTCGATGCGGGCGGCCAGTTTGGTATCTCAGCAGGACCAAGCTTGCGTTGAGCTTTCAAAGTACCCTTTTGTTTGTTTTTGTGCCCCTTCACACAATGAGGAAGTTGAGGTTCGAAGCCCTTAGCTTTTGAACCCATGTGCGCTCCGTCTGCGTGTCTGGGTCCACAGACTCCTCGAGGTTCCAAATCGTCTGCAAAGTGTCCATGGCGGTCATGATGAAGCCCCAAGGGGTCGCAATCATGAGTCTTTTCAGCCGATCAAGAATCCACTTTCGTCTTTCCGGGTCAGACGTCCCGGCACCAGCAATGAACGTCGGCAAACATGTTGCCTTGAAATTGGGGTCTTCGTCGTGAATACAGGAAAGGTGGTAAAACATCTGACTGTCCAGCTCATCGCGGTCGACGGGCACCAGGATCGAAGCGGACGGAAGGGCGTGCAGGATGTACAAGCACGCAGCAAGTCTGTGAGCGGAACCTGCATGGATTCGACTTTCTACCGGGATGTGCTTAAAGTAGGAAATGGTACGCGGCTCATAGGCCCAGTCGTGCGTATCGAAAGACAGGGCCTGCTCTAGCAGTTGCGCTGCGGCCTGAGCTATGGATGCTGCAGACTCGAGGTCATCCGTGGGCTGGTTTGACAGTTGCGATGCTGCCAAGAGAATTTGCAAAACGTCAGGCGGACAGCAGAGGTAGCTGTTGGCAGCAGCTCTGCCAAGCACGGCAGAGGCCTGAGAGGCTTGGTAGTAGGACTTGGCAGTTGGTGTCTCCCGGTTGAAGGCGGAGGCCAAGATATAATAGCTGTGGTGGACGTGTATTAGTTTAGATGATTCATTACCTCACCCAACATCGAAACATGAACTCACATGAAGCAATCTGACATGACATAATCCCGTAAGGCGACATCTGCGGTGGAGGCGGGGCTCAACAAGGTCATAATTCGGCCCGCGCCTTCGAGATGGGGTTTCCAACCGCCGTGCCCGCTCTCAATTAACTCCACGTTGACGAAGAAGAGTACGGAGGCTAGGACCACGTCCCCGCCGACGCCGCCAATATCCTGTAGGGCTGAGGAGAGCAGGCGCAGGGCCTTGTGCTTGGCTACCAGGGCATCGGTTAAGGCTTGCCGGGCGTTTAGATCGGACTCTGGATCTGAGGACAAGGCGCGGGACAAATTAGACATGTGGGCTGCGGAGGCGGCGACGATGATGTGCTGCAGCAAGGGGTGTGCTTTTGTCAAGGGGATCAGGGAACGGAAGGGGTTCCTGTCTGGGAGGTCCCAGGAGACGAGATCCCTACAGACGCGGGTAGTGACTGCGGAAGCGACCGAGTTAGCCGTTCTAGCGTCTTCCCGAGAGATTGGATGAGGAGGTGTAAATTACAGTAGGAGAGGTAGTGGCGGTAGTGATGCTCCACGCCCTGGAAGAGAGGATCGACGAGGGTCCAGGGTGCCGACTGGGTCTCGGTGCCGGCGGGCCGGACGGCAGAGACGACGAGCGCAGTGGAGTCGTTTTCGGCAGATTCGGCAGAGGCCGGAGGGTCCTGGGGCTGGAGGCCCGAAGCGGAAGAAGCGGGGGAAGAAGAGGCTGAGGGCTTGAGCTCAAAGGTGGAAGTCCGCGAGGTCGGGACCAAGGCGGTGGTGGTATCGGCCGAGAAGGTGATGGAGGTCTTGCCGGCGAGCTTGCCGCGGCTGGCGACGCCCTCTGTCCAACGAAAGAGCTTCCCGTAGCCAAGACATTCCTGTCCGCCGACTGTACACTTGTGACAGTGGGGATAGGAGCGGTCACAGCGGAGGCGGCGGCGGCGACAGTTGTGGCATGGCTTCGTCGGGGCGTTGAGCATCTCGATGCGTGACATTGCAGCTGGTTGCAGGTAGCCGCAGGCAAGGCTATCCGGGTGCGCGTCAGCACGAGTGCGAGAGTGGGCGGCCGGCGATGCAGGCGTGTGCGCGGTATCCAGACTCTAGACTCTAGAGTGAGGTAATCTCGAGTCTCGGCGGGCGGTGGGTAAGGTTCCCGTCGTCTCCCCAAAGGCCCCAAAGGCGCAGGCTCAATCCAGAAACGGAAGTAAGCTGTCTTTGTGGTAACGATAACGTAAAACGGACAGGGTCAGGCAAAGCTTGATTTAGTCAGAGGGCGCCGGACGGTTTGTCGAGGCGGCTCGTGAGAGGACGTCGGTGGTGGTTTCTATGGGAAGCGGTGATTGTGACCGGGTAGTGGTTCGGTTGACGCAGATACTGCCTCAATGGAGAAAAGAAGCGTCAAGACATGCATGACAAGTATGTCCAGGATTGGTAATCGGAGGGGTCCTGTTGTACTGGTGAAGGCGGGGATGCCAGATGAACGTCAGAGCCTCAGAGTGCTCGGTTTGCGCCAGCTCGGAGGGGAAGCGAGATCAGATTGGGTGAGGATTAGGAGGGTTGTCAGATAAGGTGACGTTGAGCAACGGTTTCATGCGGAGGATGGAGAGTCCGAGACTCCAATGCTCCAGCCCTGTGTACAGTGGGTTGATTGTCGATTGGAAATGATATGGCGGTGACGCTGTTGGCCTGTTGCTGCTGCTGCTCGAGGTTGTGGTGACGGGAATCGTGAAGCGTCGATTCGGTGGCCGAAGTCACCGGCACGCAGATACCGTCCGATAAGAACCGATAAGATGGCACACTAGTCTCAATCTGGAAGCCAAGCAGCAATTCGTGCATTTCCTGTCTCCACATTTTCTTCTCGAAGACGAACAGCACGGACGGTAAAGATGACGCTTGGTTCGTCAAAAAGCACTGACTTTGCTGAGTCACCATGTTTTTGACAGATGCACTAGACCCAATTAGGCCTCTTGCGTCTGAAGAACCCCACAGAAATCGTTCCATGTTGCGACAAAGAACCAACCAGAAGAAAGGATGTGTCAAACGCACTCACTTTCGGAGAGAAGTTCGCATCTTCGCATCTTTACCATGTCCACACGTAGTAGTCCACCACCACTTGCAACACCCTGACACCTCGAATTATTGTGTCATCACATCCAAGGGCGTCATTTCGGTCGTCACCAAGCAGCAGACACGCAGGTCGCATACCAAACAGAGGCAAACTAAGCGATCGAGGACCCTGGGCCAAGACCGACAGGCAGACCCTCTCTCGTGATTCATTTCCCGTCTCAACTGCCAAAGTTTCGTCCCTCGAGCTGACTCAACGCGTAGTAGTCTCCCTGAGCTTAGCAAGCTTAGCAATTCTGGCACTTGTCGCTTAGAACCACTGCGCAACAAAGAACATGCTGCCACAAATCTTCTGTTCCAAAACCCGAAACGGTGGCAGTTCTTTGCCGAGAAGGGCAGCCAAGGCGCACGCCATGCTCCAACGACCCGTCTCCCGCACTTCTGTCACCTTTCGAGCCATGTGAGGCTTCTACGCTTCTCTGCCCGCGGGCTGGGACCTTGAGGAGCCAAGCTGGACATCTGGGACGACGGTGCCCCATCTAGGCCCGTGGGTTTGTTTGTCTTCCCGGCGCTGGTTGTTGATCCTAGGCCAGATGCAAATCCTGACGCTCCATGTCTCCATTTCTCCACACCAGATGGCAAGAGGCCACCCCCGATTAGAAATTCTCTGCGTCAAAGAGCTTTCCTTTGATGGATCGATGACCTGCTCCTGGCTGCTATTTAGATCTTGGAGGGACCCATTACCATGCATCCCGTGTCTATTTGGTTTTTCCTATTGTCAAGCGATGTGTTGATATGACTGAGAAGATCTTTACGATAAACATAATAGACTCTTTGTAACTGTACACTACAAAATACCCTGAAGATACATAGCGCAAAAAGACCAATGACACAGCGCGACAATACCGACCGGGAAGCCGGCTCCGGCGGCCAACCTACGGAATTCGACGTCGAGTTTCTCGGCCGACAACGCCCGGCCGTCTTCAAGTCCCAATGGTCCGAACTGGGCTTCTGCTTTTCCCTTTTGGGATCCATGTTGATGGCTGTAAGTCTGACTTCGCAATACTACAAAATAAAGGAGATCTTCACTTTGAGGCGTATGGACTCTAATGTACAACCTAGGAATACTTTGTCAGTGGCTTTCACATCATCCTCCCGCCCCTTGCCGAAGAGCTCGACATCCCCGCCGCCTCCCAAACATGGCCCTCGAGCGTCTTCTCTCTCGTCACCGGCGCCTTTCTCCTCCCGCTCGGCAGGCTGGGTGACATGTACGGCGGCTACCTGACCTTCAACATCGGCCTCGCCTGGTTCTTCGTCTGGTGCCTCGTCGCCGGCTTCAGCAACAACTACATGATGCTCATCGTCTGCCGAGCCCTCCAAGGCCTCGGCTCCGCCGCCTACCTCCCCGCCGGCATCATGCTGCTTGGCAAAATCTACCGCCCGGGGCCCCGCAAGAACCTCGTCTTTGCCCTGTACGGTGCCTTTGCGCCCATCGGCTTCTTCTTTGGCATCCTCATCGGCGGCGTGTCGGGCCAGTTCCTCAACTGGCGTTGGTACTTTTGGCTCGGCAGCATCGTCCTGGGTATCATTGCCGCCGTGTCTTTCATCACGATCCCGCACGACTACGGCGATAAGCGCCAGGAGATCCGCATGGACTGGTGGGGCGTCGCGACCATCGTTCCCGGCCTACTGCTCGTGGTTTATGCCATCACCGACAGCTCACACGCGCCTCAGGGCTGGGCGAGCCCCCAGATTCTCGTGACGCTGATTTTGGGCGTCGCCTTCCTCGTGGCGGCGTGGTACGTCGAGAGCCGCGTATCTGCGAACCCTCTCCTGCCAGGTGACCTCTTTGCTCCCAAATCCATGAAGACGCTCGTGGCCGCCCTCTTCTTCGCCTACGGCACTTTCGGCCTCTTCCTCTTCTACTCAAGCTTCTATATTGAGACGGTGTTGCACAAGTCGCCGCTGCTGACGGCTGTGTGGTACGTGCCCCTCATCGTCGGCGGCATCATGATCGGCACCGTCGGCGGCTTTACGCTGCACCTCCTCCCCGGCAGAGTGCTCCTCGCCATCTCGGGCACGGGCAACCTCCTGAGCGTGCTTCTGTTCGCCATCATGCCGGATAACCCAAA